ACAGAGAGATTCTCCCAAGCAGAAAACCCCCAGGTCCTGACCAAGGATGCATCCCCTTTCTGGAAGGTTCCATTGGAATCTAGGTCATTCTTTGCCATTCTTGGCCACAATGCATGGCCATGAAATCAAATAACCTGATTTCCAGGAGAAGCAAAGATGCTGTGAAAGGTGGCTGGGGTCTTTCCCACCAAGGTCAAGGTACTAAGCAGTGACAGATGCCTCTCCTCTAGTCCTGAGGAGGGAAAGGGTCAAGTTGGAGGCAGAGGGGACAGAGATATTAAAAGACGGGCCAACTTTCGATGGATACTTTTCTAGTTTCTAGTTCTTGGCTTCAGAGGGGACTGTGGGCCTAGCATGTCAAAACAGGAAAGTGAGATGGAAACAAGTGGGCAGTCAATTTCAGCTTCTAAGAGTCCAAGGCTTCCAGCCATGCCAAGGGCTGGCTGGGGGAAGGGGGGTGTTTTGTTAGAGACTGAGTGACCATCTGGTAGTGGATGCATGATCCAAAGACCCTCCCAGCCCAGAGACCTATATATGCACATAGGAACACAGAGTCCCGCCTCTCCTTGGTTATTCTTTTCCCATGTCTGCCTCTGTGACCAGTGCAGCTTTCTCGCCATCGGAGACATACCCACTGAGTAGGAGTGTCTGAGCCTGGCCCTCATCTGTCCCTTCCAACACAATGGATGCCCTGGAGGTTATTTTCTCTCTTGAGTTAGAACTGGCAGTTTCCTGATCCAGCTGGAAAATGTAATGCCCTTAAAAAAAAAAACACAGCGAGGGAGATCTGAGAGGTGTGGAGTTAGTGCCCATCTATCATGTACCCAAAGTCAGCGAGGAGGTTGGAATACAAATAATCCATCCTCATCATGAAAGGTTTAGTCCAGTACACCTCTCCTCCCCCCCCTACTACCCCACTCCCTCGATTGCTTCTAAGGTCCCTAACTTGTTGGCTTTTATTTGAAAGCCATCAACTGAGCATGGACATCTACAGAGCTGTCTATTAGGCATTTCCCACCCCCTCCTGACATACTCTGTGCCTTCTTTCCAATAAGGTGGTGATCTGGAGACTCAACAGATAGATTGTCCACTGCCTGGGGGCTCTTGCTCACCTGTGGCCATGGAATGGGACAGGCAAGGTTCTACATAAAGGGATTGTGGTGTGAGTTCAGGAGGGTTCTGGGAATGGGAGGGTTCATCGGGCATTACTGTGAAATACTTGAAAGGGTGAGACCTGATTGAGGTACAGTGATTGATGTTGAGACTTAGCTGGCTCCACTTAGCTTGACCTCAGAAATCATATAGCATAAACATCTCAGGGGAATGAGTTGTTAGGACTCATTAAGAGTTGTCATCCTCCTATATAATAAAGAGCTAATATGCTAATTAGATGAAACAGCAGAACAATGGTCCTGGCGCCTGTCCCGATAAAGCCAGGGCTGCGAGGGCCAAGTCCCTTGCATGAATTTTGTGCACCAGTCCTCTAATTTATATATCATATTTCGAATGCCAAGTTTCAAAACAACCAAATGCAACCAGATGCTGAACAAATTCTGTTCTGTCTTTGAAGCTGCATTGTGATCGATACAAAGACTTGGGATTTTCTTCTTAAATATTGATTTTTGTTGTTGTTGTTGTTGTTGTTGTTGGGTAGGAGATCACCAGGAGGTAGAAAGAGAAATGGACTTGAATCTAAGTGACTTCAGAAGTTGCTCTTTAAAAGAAATCCCTGCTACTTAGGTGGCCTTCATCTCTTTTTCTCTTAAAGTTGGGTGCAGGGAAAAATAATTCCAGTCTTTAGAGCTTGCTGGCTATTTAGAAGCTGAAAAGAGAGATTGTATTCTTTCCTGTGCTCTGTGATGTAAGTGATTCATGTGAGGAAAAAGGTGAATGAACGGTTTGCCTTCTGTGTCTGGGAGGAAGAAAATTTGGGTCTACCTCAGTTTTGTTCCATGCTAACCGCAAGGCTGATTAATTTTGGATGTCAACGTCAAGACAAGTTGGGGACTAGAAAATATTATGCATACTCAGAAGATATCTCAGATAAGGGGGAAAGTAGACTCCTGCAATTGGAGAGTTGAGACTGGGAAAGATGAATCTGGAAAGATTTCTGTTTTCCCTGTAATCTTCGTTAATAATGACATGGCTGGGTGCCACGGAGGTCATGGTGTGGTCTCCACAGTTCAGGGAGGCCCAGGCTCATGTTGGATGTTGACGAGAACACAGGTGCGTTAAGGCTAAGATCCCAGACAAAAGCAAGTTCTGGGACCTAGGCGCCATAAATCCTGCACGCTGCACACCCTCCCGATGGAACTCTGACTCGCTTCTCTCAAATGGGTGAGGCAGCCAAAGCTGGTGTCCTCTTCCCCGCCCTCCTGGAGTTTGTGTGACATCCTGTTGCCACAGTGGGTTGGTTCCTAGGCCTGAGTGGTCCCCTTCATCAGGTAACGGTGTCCTCCAGGGCTGAGCAGAGCAGAGTGCTCAGGGGACTGTCCAGATGGGAAAGGGCAGATCTACATCTGCAATGCTGCTGGCTGCCACAATTGCCACCCCTGCCAGCCACCCTGGCATTGGCATTCTTGTACATTATCTCTGTTTTTAGGGGATGGGAGTAATAATAGCTTACTGAGAAAGACTTGGAAAGTACAGAAAATTGCAAAGAAGTAGATCCACCTATAATGGATAATCACTCTTAAAACTTTGGTATATTTCCTTCAGGTTTACGGGGGCTTGTTTTCAAAGCATGCTGGAACCATCAAGTAAATAACATTCGGACCTACTTATTGTTCACTCTTCATTGTATGAGGTCCATTTTCCATGTCATAAAAGATCTTTCAAAAAGATTTCTCTCCAGATGAGTAGCATTCCATTATATGAATACACCATGGTTTATTAAATCATTTCTCTAGTATTAGACATTTGGGTGTTTTTCCTTTGACATTATAAACGATACATAGACAGCGTGGTAGGATGCAGTTTGCATATTTGGTCTGCATATCACTGTTCTTTTTTTTTTTTTTTAACTTTTCAACATTTTGACAAAATACACATAACAAACTACTATTTTAACCATTTTTAAATGTCCAGTTCATTGGCACTAAGCACATTCCCATTGTTGTACAACCATCACCACTATCAATCTCCAGAGCTCTTCCCATCTTCCAGGTGGAAACTCTATACCCATTAAACACTGAGCCCTCACTATCTACCCCCAAGATCCTGCTCCCTAGCTCCCAGCAACTATCATTCTTCCTTTGACCACTCATTTGAATGGAATCATACAGTATTTGCTGTCTTGAGAGCGGCTTATTTCACTTAGCATGTACCTCATGTAGCTTATGTCAGAATCTCCTTCCTTTTTATGGCTGAATAATATTTCATGTGTGTATAATCACATTTTAAAATCTTATTTACCCATTAATGGACACTTGGGCTGCTTCCACCTTTTGACTATTGTGAATAGTGCTGCTGTGAATATGGGGGTACAAATTCTTATTGAGTCTATATTGTCAATTGTTTCCCAAAGGGTGTGCCAGTTTATTCACCACCATTAGCATAAAGACACTTTTCTTGCCACCTTTACCAATACAGATATTATCATTAAGAAAAACATGTGTGCTGCCCTAGACAGTGTGCTCAGTGGTTGGAGCTTTGGCCTGTGCACCAAAGGGTCCCAGTCAAGGGCATGTACCTGAGTTGCAGGTTCATTCCCCAGCCCCAATCAGGGTGCATGTGGGAGTCAACCAATTCATGTGTCTCTCTCACATTAATGTCCCTCTCCCTCTCTCTCTCTCCCTTTAACTCTAAAAGAAATGGAAGAATATCTTTGGGTAAGGATTGATGAAACAAAAATCTATGCCAATGAGACAATGTGCTACTTTGCCTTTCTTATTACTGATGCTGAATATTCTTCATATGTTTGTTTTCCATTTGGATTTTTTCTTTGAATTATTGTTTCCTGGATTGCCCCAAATATAATTCTTTGGATCATGTCAGTTAGACAGACTTTGGTTTCTTACCTGGCTTTTAAGACAAATCGTCATAACCTAAGGGAAAAAAATTTTTTTTGACTACCAATTTCCTAGACACTGGTGTAACCCAGAACCCTCAAACTCCAAATAATTTCCTCTCACCCTTTTGGTCTGTAATGTCCGCCTCTCTGCAGATGTGTCATCTCACCTTTTGGAGGTGAGTGAGGTCACAGGTTGGCTGTTAGAACTGTCAGTTCAGGGAGGATGGGTGAGGGTCATAGATTCTGAGGGTTTGGCAGAGCTTTAAAGGTTATCTGGACTTGCTGAGTGGGTGCTTTACCTGCCCACATAGGAGCCATGAGTTCTCATGGGAATAGACCTCACAGCTCCATCTCCCATTTATTAGCTGTTCAACCTTAGGCAAGTCACTTAGCCTCTCTGAGCCTCAGTTTTCGTATCTTAAAATACTTCAGTTAACCAGTGGTTGCTAGCCTTTCCTCTTCTGTCCCCACTGTCCCCATTTTTAAAGATTTTGATCTTCAGCATTTATTAATTGACCCCTTGGGCAGCCTTGTCTCATGAGTTATTTCTGCTAGATTTTGTGAAATACTGAAAACTGTTCAACAACCCACTTTTACAACCATCAGAGACTTGCAGGTGTTGGGGTTCCCCTGTGGTTAAAAGTTAGTGAAAAGGAGGTGATCAGTCCGTTTTTCAATCACCTTTTATCTGGTGTTGAATCTTATATTTAGAAGAACATGGCAGGAAGGCAGGATAGGTGTCACGTCCAGTCTCAGAAAAACGGAGATTTTAAAGTCTCAGAGACTAGCTTAAGGTCACATAAAACAGTGACATTGAGAAAAGGGATGGGCCCTAGCTGGCATTCCTTCCCTTGGGAGGGCAGCTGCCCTGCAGATTTTTGCATAAGTCCACATGCTGGTGGATTTTTAACCACTGTCACTGCCCAACACCAGCGGGCACTCATGAAGGAGTGGCTCATGCATTCTCACCTGTCCTCCTCACCCCCAGGTATGTGGTCATCTCCAGGGAGGAGAGGGAGCAGAACCTCCTGGCATTTCAGCACAGCGAGCACATCTACTTTCGGGCATGCCGGGACATCCGGCCCGGGGAGTGGCTGCGGGTCTGGTACAGTGAGGACTATATGAAGCGCCTGCACAGCATGTCCCAGGAAACCATCCATCGCAATCTGACCAGAGGTGAGTGCCCACCCTCTTGGTAAGGACCATGCCCATGCCACCAAACCCCCTGGGAGGCCAAGAATACTTCTCTAGAAGCATCCTAAGAAAACCGATGGGAAATGCAGTACACCAGCAATGGGGAGACCCAGAGGACAAACAGATGGTCCAGGTCTGAGCAGCAGCTCTGGGCAGTGTTGTGGGGACCACTTATCCTCCATGAGAAACCATCTCAGAAACCCTATTACATATGAATGTCTTATTATAAACTTCAGAGTATCATGGAGAGAGCAAAGTACATACATTTAATCAAAATCAATCCTATCCCTCTCCCTCAAAGTGATGGAAAGGTGCTATAAATGGCAACTGCTGCAATAATACGTAATATTTACTAAGGACTTAATATGTGCTAAGCTTATGTTCCATCATGTCCCATGAAATCAAGGCAATAGGAGCAGCTACCTGAACCTGTGCTGAGAGAATTGGCTGGTTAGAACACATTTAGAACAATGTCTACCTTGACCATTGTAAGCCCTCCATTGTAGACTTTTAAAACTAATGATTCATGTATAGCACTTTACAAAGCATGTATCTCCATCTTACAAATGGCAAAACTGAGCATCAAATAAATATAGTGACTCACCCAGAGCCGAATGGCTAGGAAGGGCAGAGCTGAGTTTCTAACTCTATTTGTTAGAGTCAAGGGTCAGAGCCCTAACCTGTAATGTTATATGAACTGCCAGGCAAAACTAGTTCCGCCCGCCCTGCTTCCTCCTGGTCTCATTCCCAGAAGTCTAACGCTACATTGTGAAAGAACGGTGTCTATTAGAACAAGAAAGTTGGAAGGAGACGACCTTAGGTGTAGATGGTGGCCTGATGGGTGAGATGTCCATCTGGGCTCCATTTAAATGAGTCATTTGAAAATGGCTTAAAATACTCCCAGTGCCTAGCCCTTTGCCTCTTTACTCCACCCTCAGCTTGGCCAGGGCAAACTGGTGAGTCCAGGTCCTTCTTTCCATGGGACCGCCTTGCATTAAAACCATACCTTCAAAAACCCAGAGTCCATGTGGTCCCAGGAACCAAGGCTATCCCCAGACCCCACTATCATATCCCTGACCAACCTACTTTTTGGAAATAAAGCGCCATTTGAAATATGAGTAGAGAAGATGAGAGGGGGTAGGAGTGGCCCACAGAAATTAAGCTACTTTTAAAAACAACAAAGCAGATTGTGGACATTGAGTGCCCAGCGGCTGCCTGACTTGGTAAAAGGTATCTGGTGATTGGATGGGCAGTGAGAAGAGACCCAATAGACATACACATCTCTTGTCTTTTTTGGATCTGGGGGGTTGGGCACATGCATTTTTTTCCATGATGAGATCGCCATGGTTTCCAGTTGACCCCTGGAGGTGCCTCGTATAAAAGCATCTGATACATAGTAGGTGCTAACTCTTTGTTGAATGGATAAAAGAAGAAACGAATGAAGACAACCAAGAAGTCTCCAAAAGAATCATACCACCAAAGAGGAGAAAATCAAGAGAAGTCATGTCAGAGGACACAGGTTCCATCCTTGGGCCATAATCTTTTTGAATTCTTCTGGATTTGTCATGTTCCCTTCCTCCCCCCCCTCCCACCCACCCAGGGTCTTCTCCAAAGCTGCATCATCCTCAGAGAGCCCTGAGACCCCAGGGGAAGGCTCAGACAAGGGAGTGAGCTTTCAGGGGTGGTTCAGAGGAACCTGGCAGACAGACTCAACATGAGATACACCGAGACATGTGAAGATACAGGAGGAGGGAATACCTCTTCCTGGCCAGGCTGAGAAGTAGGAAACAGGAAGCCACTGTGGGACAGGGCCATGGCAGGAGGTAGGTGCTGAAATCCTTGTGAGCAGTTGTGTGGCCTTTAGATGTTGCGTCTCTGTAACCTGTAGTTTTGGCAGATGCTGGAAATGGGTAGCGGTGTCTTAGATCTGTATGCAAGTCCTGCTCTGGATGGGGGATTCCCCCATGCTCAGTCCCTCAAAGTCTTACTTGGAAGGAGGTTTCTTTGTAATTGGAGGCTGGAACTCTGATAAAGGCAAGAGCATGGATTATTAGTCCTTATCAAATAGGGACATTAGTTGGTGCCAAGAACTGCTTCCTGAAGAACGTAGACATTATTTCTTTGTGGTTATCTTTTAAGAAGAGGAGCATCTAATGTGTGTATTTAAAGAATTTGTGTTATTTGATTGACTTTGAGTCATTGATCTGCGTCATGGTGTTTTTCTCATGTTTTATGGAAGTGTGAGAATCCATTTCGTGATGCTTGAAGGTCTTTTTTGACCCACAGGAGCCGTTAGTCCAAAGAGGCCTCCTGCTCATCTTAGCACATTTGAATGAGCTTTTCTCTGAGCAGAGTAGCATGAGGAGTTCCTGGTGATGAGTAGACTTGACCTTCAGACATCCTCAGCTGTTTGCTGCCTGATCAGCCCACGAGAAACAGGAAGGGTGGCCTTGTCGTTTAGAGATTCTGAATGAGCAAGGGTCATAAATAATCTGCACCAACATATTGCATTTTTAAAAACTTCTCTTCATCGGCACGCTTTCTGTCCCTCAGCTATTATAGAAATGCTGGCTGTGGGGAGGAGCACCTGAGTATAAGGAGCCTTAGAGGTGAGATGATGCCCTAAGCAGTCACGTGATCTGCTTAGGACAGAAAAGGCGCTTCCTGAACAGGTTACTTGCTTTTGGGCTGTTACCTGTAGGAAATCTGGAGTCACACCTGGGCCAGGGCACAGCACCCCATGCCGGCTGTGGGAAGCTGAGGCTTGGCCACAGCGTAGTTCTGGTTTGCACAGAGGTCCTTTGGCCTTCCCTCAGAAGTCTTTCCAAAATGCAGCTATCAGCAGCCTAATTACAACATATGAGTAGGTTAAGTCTTTGCTCAGTCACATCTCCCAGGGCCTGCTTCTGGTCTAGGAAGCCTTTAAGATTTCCTAGCTCCACAGGCTGCTGTCAGGATCTTCTGAGGACTCCCCACTTAGCACTGTTACCCCTCCACCCCCACCCCAGGTAGTGTTGTACTTCTGAGCAGTTTATGATATTGTGCCAGCCATTGTGAAAATCTGGCTAAAATAACTCATTGTTGGGGAGCTCACCAAGGTGTTGTTAAGTCATTTACATGATAGGAAGAAATATAAAAGGGAGCATTGTTTGTATTGCCAGGCAAGGAAACAGCTATATTTTGAGAATGCTTTGGGTCAGTGTGGCCACATTGTTCTTTACCTTGCTGGAGGTGGCCCATCTTGCATTGTCTTCCAGCCTCAGCTGGCATGCTTTTCTCACATACTGCTCATTTTCTGACTGCTGGGAGAAATAGAAAGGACATTTGCTCTAGGTGGACTTTGCCCTAAGTGGGCCGACTTCAGAGAGTGAGGGAGGAGGAAGCGGCAGGACTCAGTATTTCGTGTGTACCTTTTACCAAGTCGAAGCAGCCATCTTATAATTGCTAAGACTGGACCAGAAGCCTGGAGGCGTTGGGGGTATCCATCCTCACTTAGCTCTCAGGAATGTCACCACCCATTCATTGGACCGAGCAGGAGGCAAGTACCTCCCAACTACCTTCCCCCATAGCATTTTTCTCAACTTATTAAGTGTAGAGCATGTATACATAAGACTCCATTGAAACTGTCTCTTTAAAGACTTCTCTGCTTTTTGGGGTCCTATGATCCGATGACCTACTGAGCGATCGCCTCTCCCTTGTTGCCACACCTGCCCCACGAGGCCAGACCCAGAGGGATGTGTCCAGCGACTTCCTAACTGGAGGCCTGCATTGCTTTCTGCCTGTTTCTCCACCTGGGGCTTTTCCCCACTTCCTCACGCCATGGTTTTCCTTCCTAGGAGAGAAGCGGTTGCAGAGGGAGAAGTCTGAGCAGGCTCTGGATCACCTAGAGGACCTGAGGGGTCCCGTTCACCTCCCTGTGTTGAAACAGGGCAAAAGTTCCTACAAGCGTGGCTTCGACGAGGGGGACGTACACCCCCAGACCAAGAAGAAGAAGATTGACCTCATTTTCAAGGATGTGTTGGAGGCCTCGCTGGAATCTGCCAAGGTGGAAGCACACCAGCTGGCCCTGAGCACCTCGCTGGTCATCAGGAAAGTCCCCAAATACCAGGGCGATGCCTACAGTCGGTGTGCAATGACCATGTCGCATGGCATGCAGAATGTCAGCCGGACCCAGGGGGAGGGGGACTGGAAAGCCCCGCACGGGGCTTCTACGGAGCCAGGCCCATTGGATGATGAAGAGGAGGAGCCTTCATCCTTCAAGGCCGACAGTCCTGCTGAGGCCTCCCTTGCGTCCGACCCTCATGAGCTTCCCACCACCTCCTTTTGCCCCAATTGTATTCGCCTGAAGAAGAAGGTTCGGGAACTCCAGGCAGAGCTAGACATGCTTAAGTCTGGGAAGCTTCCTGAGCCCTCTGTATTGCCAGCGCAGGTACTGGAGCTCCCAGAGTTCTCAGACCCTGCAGGTAAGTCGGTGTGGGTGAGATGGTGTCGGAGGGAAGAGCACATGGTGGGCAGGTGAGGGTGGCAGGTGCTCTTTGCAGGAGCCTCCTTCGGGGAAACCTGAGGCGTGTGACTCAGAGGGGGGCTCTGGCCACAGCCCACACCCTCAGGTGCCCCTCTCTGACAGGTTGCTTTGCAGCTCCTGTGGGTGCTTCACGTCTTGCCCTGTATTCTCGTCAATAAAGGACATTCCGCTGCAGAAGGGGTGTGTGCTGTTTTCTTGAACCGTTGCCTTTCTCTGGTGGTCCAGTGGTGTCTTGCCCCCCATAGTCCAACTTCCAAACCCCGTCTTTCTCTCTGCCCCGTCCTGTTGGGGAGAGCTCTTGGCCCTCCCGACCTCAGCCCAGGAGCCCACCTCATTCTTCTCTTCCCGACTTGCTGTTCTGCCACACGGTCCCATCTCCCCGCCTGGGGTCTTGGAAGGACCTGGATCCCGGGCGTTTGGCTGCATGCTCCTGCCCTTCTCTGTGGCTGCCCGGATGTCTTAGAGCTGGTTGACAAGGAGGGTTTTTTCAGTACACATCTGCAGCTTAGCGTATTTACACAGCACTTTCTATTTTAACCACATCTCTTAGCTCAGAATGAGGTGCTTCAGATAGTCAAAGCATGCATCTGTGTTCTGAGCCAGAAATAACCTGGGGCCATGCCGAAGCTGTCTCAATTTGAGGGTAGCACGCCACCCCTGGCCACCTTAGTGGTGGGACAAATGAGTCCCATGTCCTCCCTCTCTGACCTAAGGATGTTTGATATGGTTCTTCTTCTGGTCTTGTGGGTCAGTTGGTACCAAACATTGAAGTTCTTTGAGCGCCCACTAGTGGAGGGCCAGGGCAGGAAGTCTGGAGCATGGTGGCCACCATGGATAATCCACAAAGAGGGAAAACCGCCAAAACCGGTTTGGCTCAGTGGATAGAGCATCGGCCTGGCCTACGGACTGAAAGGTCCCGGTTTCGATTCTGGTCAAGGGCATGTACCTTGGTTGCGGGCACATCCCCAGAAGAGGGTGTGCGAGAGGCAGCTGATCAATGATTCTCTCTCATTAATGTTTCTAACTCTCTATTCCTCTCTCTTTCTCTCTGTAAAAAATTAATAAAATATATTAAAAAAAAAAAGAGGGAATACATGGATCACAAGAGTGCTTTTAAATACATTCTGGCTGGAATCGGCTTATGTTTCACATCGTGTGGCCACCTACCTTCGGGGCAGTGCTTCCTGTTCCTTTTAGAAACGTCTATGTTTCCCCCACAGGTGTAAAGATTTCTTTCCCATTTGTCTTCCAGCCTCAGAGAGCATGGTCTCCGGCCCCGCCATCATGGAGGACGATGACCAGGAGGTCGATTCGGCAGATGAATCGGTCTCCAACGATATGATGACTGCCACCGACGAGCCCTCCAAGATGTCGTCTGCCGCCGGGCGCCGGATCCGGCGCTTCAAGCAGGAGTGGCTGAAGAAGTTCTGGTTCCTGCGGTACTCCCCGACCCTCAACGAGATGTGGTGCCACGTGTGCCGCCAGTACACGGTGCAGTCCTCCCGCACCTCGGCCTTCATCATCGGCTCCAAGCAGTTCAAGATCCACACCATCAAGCTGCACAGCCAGAGCAACCTGCACAAGAAGTGCCTGCAGCTGTACAAGCTCCGCATGCACCCCGAGAAGACGGAGGAGATGTGCCGCAACATGACCCTGCTCTTCAACACCGCCTACCACCTGGCCCTCGAGGGCAGGCCCTACCTGGACTTCCGGCCCCTGGCCGAGCTCCTGAGGAAGTGCGAGCTCAAGGTGGTGGACCAGTACATGAACGAGGGCGACTGCCAGATCCTCATCCACCACATCGCCCGGGCGCTGCGGGAAGACCTGGTGGAGCGCATCCGCCAGTCGCCTTGCCTCAGCATCATCCTGGACGGGCAGAGCGACGACCTGCTGGCCGACACGGTGGCTGTCTATGTCCAGTACACCAGCAGCGATGGGCCCCCGGCCACAGAGTTCCTGTCCCTGCAGGAACTGGGGTTCTCTAGCACAGAGAGCTACCTCCAGGCGCTGGACCGAGCCTTCTCCGCCTTGGGTATCCGGCTGCAGGATGAGAAGCCAACCGTCGGCTTGGGCGTCGACGGGGCCAACATCACAGCCAGCCTGCGCGCCAGCATGTTCATGACGATCCGCAAGACGCTGCCCTGGCTGCTGTGCCTGCCCTTCATGGTGCACCGGCCGCACCTGGAAATCCTGGACGCCATCAGCGGGAAGGAGCTCCCCTGCCTGGAGGAGCTGGAGAACAACCTGAAGCAGCTGCTGAGTTTCTACCGGTACTCGCCACGGCTCATGTGCGAGCTGAGGTCCACGGCCTCGACCCTCTGCGAGGAGACCGAGTTCCTGGGGGACATCCGGGCCGTGAGGTGGATCATCGGTGAGCAGAACGTCCTCAACGCCCTCATCAAGGACTATCTGGAGGTGGTGGCCCACCTCAAGGACGTCAGCAGCCAGACCCAGCGGGCGGACGCCTCGGCCATCGCGCTGGCCCTGCTGCAGTTCCTCATGGACTACCAGTCCATGAAGCTCATCTACTTCCTCCTGGACGTGATTGCCGTGCTCTCGCGCCTGGCCTACGTGTTCCAGGGCCAGTACCTCCTGGTGTCTCAGGTGGATGACAAGATCGAGGAGGCCATCCAGGAGATCAGCCGGCTGGCCGACTGCCCGGGGGAGTACCTGCAGGAGTTCGAGGAGAATTTCCGTGAGAGCTTCAACGGCATCGCCGTGAAGAACCTCAGGGTGGCCGAGGCCAAGTTCCAGTCCATCCGGGAGAAAATCTGCCAGAAGACCCAAGTGATCCTGGCCCAGAGGTTCGACTCTCGCAGCCGGATCTTTGTGAAGGCCTGCCAGGTGTTCGACCTCGCCACCTGGCCCAGGAACAGCGAGGAGCTCCTGAGCTATGGCAGGGAGGACATGGTTCAGATATTTGATCACCTGGAGGCCATCCCGGCCTTCTCCCGGGACGTCTGTCGGGAAGGACTGGACCCCCGGGGGAGCCTGTTGATGGAGTGGCGAGAACTCAAGGCTGATTACTATACCAAAAACGGCTTCAAGGACCTGATCGGCCACATTTGCAAATACAAGCAGAGGTTTCCGCTCTTGAACAAGATCATCCAGGTCCTCAAGGTCCTCCCCACCTCCACCGCCTGCTGCGAGAAGGGTCGCAATGCCCTGCAGCGAGTCCGCAAGAACCACCGCTCCCGCCTGACCCTGGAGCAGCTCAGCGACCTGCTGACAATCGCGGTCAACGGCCCGCCCATCGCCAACTTTGACGCCAAGCGAGCCCTGGACAGCTGGTTCGAGGAGAAGTCCGGCAACAGTTACTCTCTGTCCGCCGAGGTCCTCAGCAGGATGTCTGCGCTGGAGCAGAAGCCGGTGCTGCAGACCGTAGACCACGGGTCCGAGTTCTACCCGGACATTTAGGGAAGCGGCGTCACAGAGGTCACTAAGCTGTTGAATATTTTTTTAATCTATACTCACAAGCTTTGATATATTATATAAATATATATATTATATTATATATATTAAAAACCCACACTGAAAAAAAAATTTTTAGAAACCAAGGTGACACATCCACCAGAAGCTACTGGGAACTGTCAGAAAGGAACCGTGTCAGAAACTGACTCTTGTCTACAACATTCGGCAGCTGCAACCTCCGTGGCAACTCATTTTCACTCATAGAAGCATGTGCCGGGGCCACACGTGTTCCCACCAACCGACCAGCCAACAGCATAAGCTAAAATGACGGGTCTCTGTCATCACCTTTAGGTAACTCATGTTGTCCCTGTTCTTGTCTGGGCGGGCGAGGGACTTGGGTCGGGGTTTAAGTCCTTGTCTTTCCTGTTCTTGTTTGGTTTTATGATGGGGGTTTCTCAGGCTCTTTGTGGACATGCTGGTCCGGCTGAGTCCCATCTCTGATTTTGGATAAGGGCAGGTTGTGTGTCTGGATCAGGTGTTTTGACTTTCTCTCCCACCTGACTTCAGCTGGAGAGATTTTTTTTACTCATTTCTTCATTGTCTTAGAAACATGTGTTGGTCAAACTGTGACACCCACTACTCCCCACCTCTGTCGCCAATCCCGTCCCTGGGTTGTTCATTCCCTTTTTTCAGACGCCCCTGGACCCTTAGTATCTGTAATACTGAAGGCAAAACTGCCTGCCAACCGAGCTTGAAATCCTGGGGAAGGGAGAGGGGGTGAGCATGTTGCATTCCTGTTTTTTTGTTTTTTTTTTAAATAGTGTGGGATAAAATAATCCGAATCCATTCAGATCCAGGGCTGTTGGAGAAATGAAGAGCCGAGAAATCCAGACCCCAAAGGGCTGTGATTTATTGGCTAAAAATAAGTAAAATGAAAAAAAAAAGTATTCAATTTACATAAATTATTTATACTCTATCTTTATAATCATATAATGTGGGGGCAGGGTTTTTTGTGTTTTTTTGTGTGTTTTTTTCCCCTTTAACAATCAAGAAATACCTGCCAGAGTTGAGTAGCAGGACATGTCAATGCAAGTTGTGCCCTGGTTGTGCAAATGAGAGTCTCTAGAGATTTAGTCCTTTTTCTGCAACAGGCTGAGAACCAGCCCTACCCCCTGGCAGGAAGGTAGCGGGAACCTGGGTGATGCATCTATGCCTGTGAACACTTCCGTTTTGAACAGGGTAGAGATGTCCTTGAAGAAAGGAATAAGCAAGGGGTAAGATAGGACTCTCAAGGCATTAGCCTACACACACACACACACACACACACACACACACACACACAACCACAATATAAGCTTTAGAAGTAGCCACTGGCCCACTCCCTGGGGCAAGTAGTGGTTTAAGCTACAGGAGTCAGATCAATGCTCTTTCATTCATTTAACTACCGGTATACCTCGCAAGGGAGTTTTGTTTTTTTAAATGTGCGTGAGCTGTTAGACACTTCTGTTCATGTTTTCACACTTGGTTTATGCATATTGGATATGCAGAGATCCTGTGTCATGGGTGCAGGTCACATTTGGGGAGGGAGGAAGATCCGCGTCGTCTGTGGTCCTTAGCCACCCCTCTCAGCTGACAGAGGTTGAGCAAGGGATCATGTGATCTGGTCCCAGGGTCCCCAACCTGTGTGACTCAGACATGATCAAACTGTGGCAGCTTCCTTCCTCCTGGTTTATCTTGCCTCCGAGGCCTCATGCCGCCGTAGAGAACATAGTGGAAATGTCATCAACACTGAACATGTCACTCCCCCGTCCTGTCCTGCCAGAGTCCCTTCACCCCCCACAGGTCCCTTCTCCCCACCCCCATGGTCTTGGTGCTAAGATAACTTTAGAATCATTGCTGCTAGTGGATAGCTTTTCATTACATAAATATATATTATATATATATTATATATTATTTTTGAAACTTTTTTTTGTTTGTTTCAACAGTGATGTAGCATGTTAAAACAAAAACAAAACCTGGTTTTCTCTGACGGTCCCACTGCCAGGCCTCATATGCTGCCTTCTTCAACAAATCAATGCACCCCTGCCTGTGGCATTCAGCCCCCAACTCCCTTCCCAGTCACACATACTTCCCCACCTTCCTCTGAACAAGGAGAGAGAAGAAACTAGCCAGGAGAGACCCAAAGCTCTTTCTGATGCTTTGAAATTCCCAGCCTCACTCCACTTTCCCAATTTAAGCTGGTGTCTCCTCCCCCCACTCCACTCTTCCCATCGGGGTCAGTAACTGTGGTCAGGTGGGATGATATTGCAAAGCACAGGGTTCCATCTTTTCCTCCCCGGCTTCCTCTCCACCACACAGATGGAGATGGGTTGAAGGCAGAGGTAGATGGCAAGGTGGGCGGGCCTCAGTGGAGGCAGAAACAGTGGGTTGGGATCCGTTCTTCTAGCCAACAGATGCCTTACACCTTCTCTTCCCCCACACACTGCATTGGTACCCTCTGTGGATAGCCTCCCTAAACCAGTGGTTGGCAAACTCACTAGTCAACAGAGCCAAATATCAACAGGACAATGATTGAAATTTCTTTTGAGAGCCAACTTAATTAAGATACTCCTAAGCTGGCCTTGGCTAAAAACTCAAGGGGCCAAAGAGCCGCATGTGGCTCTCGAGCTGCACTTTGCCGACCACTGCCCTAAACCACTCATTTGCAAACCGGAAAGAGAGTATCTGCTTGAGTATCTAGTCAGGGGCTGCAAATGTGTCCTCTCAAGAGGCCATGGGCAAACTCCGTGTTTATGCCCAGGGAACCATCTTTTGGGCCAGTGCCAGTTTCAGCCTGTACCTTCTGAGACAGCTGGGAGCCCGTGACCTGCCTCTGGGCTAGAAGCATGAGCTATGGCTACAGGTGGCCACTGTCCAGCCAGGGTCTGAAACAGAGAGGATGAGCTCTCTGGAAAGCCTTGAACTTTGGCAAGGCTCCCAACCTCTGAGTGCGCATGCCCTTGGCTGAATTCAGCTAGGCCATGTCAGACTCTCTGAAGGCCACTTTCCCTTGGGACAGGAAGTAACCAGGGAATAATTGGGGTGACACACCACTGCAATTTACACAGGGGCTTGTCTCAGTCTGGATGGGTCTCAGGAAGCTCAGTGCTTCTGTCCTGTGCAAGGGGCATGAGACTACCGGTGACTTCTGTCCATTTCCTACTCTCTGCTTCCTGAGAGGGACTCTTGGGTTGATGGGACCCTCAGGGTCTAGTCCAGGGAGGCACTTGGCTAACCTAGCCTTCCTTTGATGGGTATAAAACATGGTTGGCTGGGCAGTCGTGACATCCCTAATGTGGTGGCTTCAGACAAGACACAGCCCTTAAACTCAGCCCCTGGCTTAGGAGTGACAATCATTGGCTTAGAATAAAAGGTTTGTGTCTCTGGGCTGGAGACTTGTTCTCATTGAACTTTCTGTGGTTTTTGGAGGGGGTGGGAAGTAGGATCAGGTTTGGGGGGCGGAGGCAATCATGCCTAGCAGATAAATTGCTGAGCCTGGGAACCAGAGGCCCTTGAAGTTAAAATGGTGTGCTTTTCCTCTCCCCAAAGAAGGAAAATAGCCCATTAGCATCCATGAGGACTGAGGACATCCCCATCCTGCCTAGAACTCTTGCTATGTCAGAATCCCCACATTTTGACTGCCTGGTTGAATATGAGTTCAGGCATCTGAATCACCAGGGGGTTTTTGTGTGTGTGTTTTTTGTTGTTTTTGTTTGTTGTTTTTCTTTTTTGTGGTTGTCGTTTTTTGTTTTTTGGACTGCTGGCAACATCTTATAGTACTGGGTGGAGCCTGATTTCCTCATCCTCGCTTGGGAAGGAGAACAAGCTCCAGCTCCAAGATCCCTGGACAGCAGGGCTCAGTACTGGACCCTGAATCCAGGGCAGTTGGGGGTCTTAGCCCCAGCCCCTCCTACATGCTACCATGTTGGGTTGTCTTGCCTCACCCTTCTCCTTGGCTTGCTTCTGTTGACCCTGTAATCTGGAGGAAGGACCTTGTAATTATTTGAGGTAATGTTGAAATGCTTTTCACATGGAAAAGCAGTAGAATGTGCTGAAAATGATCATGGAGAGAGTTATCATGGTTGGCTAACCTACCCAGGCTTTGCCAAGCCCAGGCTGGGGGGGCTAGAGTCACTTTGGCTATTCCCTGGAGCCTCCTGGGATCCAGCAAGTGGCCTGGGGGTAGGGGGGTGTTGAAATAGAAATTCTCTTCTAGATTCCTTCCCCTTCATTTTTCCTCCACGCCCTCTAAGAGCAGGAATTCGGTACCTAGAGCCGGTTTGGGCTTACTGTCTGAATTGATTTCTAAGTAGAATTCGTGCTTTTTCTTGGTCCTAGCACCCAGTTCTGGCAGAAGGCTCCAGTCCCACTGGGACTCACACTCCCCACCATCCTTCTTCTGGGGGCAGGCCTATCCAGGCTGGCCTGGGACAGCCCAAGCAGGGAAGCCAGGGCTGCTTAACCAAGAAAGGCGTGTGTTCCCAGGCAGGTGAGCTTGGGGCAGTTCCATTCCGGATATGGGCCTCCTGGAGGTGGGGCTGGGTCTGAGGTTCCAGTCTGGTCTTGAGGGAAGATTATGTCCAGAGACATGCAGGGCCCCTTTTCTGGCTGGAGGAGGATCCCTCTCTGCCCTCTGTTCTGGGTGCTTTAGCTGAGTGGATGGAGCTGTGATATTTCATGGAGCCTTTGAGGTGACCTTTGTGTGTTAGCCAGAGGGAGTAAAAGTGCCCTTTGGGGAGGAAAATGGTACGGCTCACCTCTTCCACCTGGCTCTCCCCCACCCCAATCCCTTCAAGTGGTATTGCCCTAGAAATACCTATGCAATCCAGTCTCCCTAGGAGAGTGCATGGAAGCAGGGGTATGTGCAGTGTATAATACAAATGCTACAGCATATATATTGTATATATGGACATATACAGTACGTATACACAGAGTAAGAGATTGAATCACGTCTATATATCTATAAA